ACATTTTTAAACTAAAACTACAATCTTATTTAAAATCAACTCAACTCTGTAAACACTGACATGGTGATGGACATTTTTAAATTAAAACTAAAATCTTATTTAAAATCAACTCAACTCTGTAAATACTGACATGGTTGTGGTTTAACTGGACGCTATTTTTTTCTGTTCTTTTTTGGCTCTGATAGGATGTGTATAAGTATTACTGTATTGTATGTGTTTGTTGTCTTATCTTTTTATGTTTACTTATGATTACCTGCCAAGGGACCGCGGATGAAAACTAGCCATTGGCTAAATTCGGTGCAATGCATGAAATGGAAATATTTATGTTAAAATGGTCCCTTTTCAAATTAATTTAAATAAATAAATAAATACAGTAGAAAGCAGAGCTGGATGGGGGTTAAAATTCGGCCTTGGACAAATCCAGCCCATCTGGCCCACGAGTTCCCCCATTAATATTTTGCTGGGTTATATGGCCTTAAATTGGAGTTAATAAATGAATAAATAAAACAGGACAGAAACAAATAATGATAGATATTACTGAATTCACGGCAAATGCAACAAACTTAATGCATTTTTGTCACATAGAAATGGCAGTAAAACATTGATTTTGAGCTATACTGCAGTTTTAGAATGCTAACTAATATAATACACTGATATTTATTGAATTAACATTTTGCTTCAATTAAAATTAATTAGAACGAAACAATTAAGAGAAAGACACTATTAAAGCGATTCTGTTAAATTATCCTTTTCAACTAATGAAATTTGGGGTGCGAGGTCCCGGGTTCAAATCCCGGACGAGCCCCCAATTCTGTTACGAACTCCCCTGTCTAGGGTAGAGAAGGAACAGATTAAATAAAATAAAGAAAGAATCCAAATAAACCAAACAAATTGTACGTCTTCAGAGCCCCTGTCTCCCGTCCCAGCACTGATTCAACACCCGAACCATAAATCAAGCAAAAATGATTTACTTAGGAAACATAGGAAAAACAGTAACAAAGAAAACGGAAGATCTTACATGGAAGCAATTAAATTCAGGAGGGGGGTAATGGTCAAAATAACAAACAAAACATAGGTCTAACTATTTTAGTAAACTGAATAACCTGAACACAAAATAACGATGCAAACAAAAGACAATACTAAACCTACCTCCCTTACTACGTATAAACAGGAGAAAAAGTATATAAAACAAATGGCACCCACCTCCCTACAGCTTCCTTAAATTAAAATATAAAGTATTGAGAAAGTAACGAAACAAAACATGAAACAACTTGCCCTGCACTCAGGGGTTCAATTAAAAGAGTCCTATAACAATCAACAACAAACAAAAAAGAAAACCACACGTCTGCAACAGGCGACAGGGACTCTTCGCAAGAGAGACGGAGGAAAAACCTCCCGCCCCTCAAGCACTGGAAAACAATCCGGCTTTTATGGTAGGGCACACAGTCACAAGAGCGAATCAGCAGAGGTTGACGCTCAAGATCGCTGATTAACAACAGGTGTTGCTACTTAACCTAGGAAAGCAGAAACAATAAAGACACACAACAGGCATACAGAAGAATACGTACGATGACGTAACACTATAGTTCTTGCATATAATCCAGAGTTTAACTGACTGCTATCAGTAAGATGGTGGTTACAACAAGTAAATCCATGGTCCTCATTACCATGTTTATATGTTTTTTAAAATAAATAATATGTGATAATAAACTATGGAATTTGTCATTTAAAAAAACTAAACATGTAGAAACTACAACTTCTATAAAAGTAAAATATTCCCCAATTTTTAATAGAAGTAATAACAGTAACATTTATAATTAAAAAAAATCTGCTAAAACACCATACGCTATCAGTACAGTGTTAATAACTAAAGTTAATTTACTATGGTGCAGAATTGACAAGCTTGTATTGGCGTTTTCCAATTGACCTCATCATGTAGTTTACATTACAGATAGAGTTTACAATCCCGGTGTAAACGGGCTTATTGTCGTGGCTGTTTTCAGCTAGCATCACTACAGAACCTTTAATGTTCTCATATCACACGACTGTAACAATTGCGGGTGACTGATCCCGCTCTGCTTTTGCGCGCGGATGGAGAGTGCATCTGGTAGCGCCGCTTCACACTTTTAGGAGTATGCTTTTTGCAGTTTCATATGCGCTGTAATTTAAAAACATCGCCTAATATGGGGGAGGTCTTCCTCGCTTTGGCGACCGGCCCAGCGGGAATGTTCCGGTGCTCCCGATGACCAGTAGCCTACATGCCTGGTAAAAAGTATACCTCATACCCTATCAACTTGCAAACCAATTACAATCATGACAGGCGTTGTGAAACTTGACAGCGCAATCAACCAACAGAAACTTGGAGGCACTTCCTTCCTGAGTTTTCGACTTCAGTTTTCCCACTTCACAATCACGTGAATTCCTTCACTTTCTCGGGGGGCCATTACACGACTTTATGCGTTATACGTATAACTTTTTATGCATTTTTGGCCCATTCATTTGCACAACAAATGGGGCCTGAAAACTCAAACTTTTGAGTTTTCAAAGTTTGAAAACGATACCGTTATTGCCTCCATGTAAACTACAAAAAGGAGAATTTGTCATCACAGCGTTGTTGCCTGTACGCAAACAAACAAAACATTAAAATAAATAAAAACTGTTGCGTAAAAGCACCCTCATTCTTCTAAAGTTTAGTTTTCTTCTAAAACCATTTTTACGCAATTTTTTTTGCTGTTAATCAGTTTTACTCTGAAAAAAATTGTGATTTACACTATTTAATCATATCATTTTTTATTTTTGTAGTGCTAATTATTTCTCATCCGAATATCTTTTTCTGAAAGAAAACAAAATATGTAATGCTGTAAAATAAAACTTACCTGAAGCAAAGTTGTCCTTGACTTCTCTTATACAACAGCGATTGTTTTTTATTCAAACTCCAAATATAGTAAACTCCCAGACGAATACTGAAACATTTTGAAAAAAAAAGTACCCGCACATTTATGATGTGACGCAGTTTATTAAAAATTTGTAATTTTCGCTAAACTTGGGGCAAATTCAAGCTCAAACCTGTGCGCAACGTTTTGCTATGGTTTCCGGTTTGAACGACATGTTTCCTGGAAACGGTGTGCAACGGGGTTTGAGATACGTTTTCTCTTGTTTGGCGGGTGTGTCAAAAATGTCAGCCCAATCAGCAGCAACATGTGTATAAACCACGTGGTATTAAAGATATTGTTTGCACATGTTTACTTACATTAAAGGCAAAATAACTGAAATAATAAGAGCACAAGTATAGATCTGGAACTTCTTTAAGTCTGTCTAAATATCATTTAGTAATTGCAATGTCTTCTGGTCCATGTCCTTTCCTCAGGAAGGTGTGCTAGACACTGATTAATGTAACATAAAAATACTATACATATTTATATATTTTGCTATTGTATTGTGGAGTGATACTTTCATAAACTTTTCTCTACTCCTCTGATTATAATGGTAAATATTACAATAACATAGCACAACAACAGTGATCAGCAATAATGATAAGCCTAATACTCACAATAAAAATAATAAGGTCATATAGATCATAACACAGTCTCGGAGGTAAGAAGTGGATTATCCTTCACCTGAAATGTTTGTCTTTTCATCCTGAAATGCGAGGCAAATGTTGGATCACCATAATTCGGAACCAGTTTGCACAAATCCCTTCACTCTACCGATTTCATCAGGCTCTGAAAATTCTTCAAAAAAACACAAAGAATGGCCTTCTCAGCTGCCATAGTTGCAACTCTTGCGTCATCAGAACATAGTGTTCAACGCACCACCGTTTCCGTTTTGTCGGGGCTGAACGCAGCCTTGGTGGTGTTTGCCGCGCTGTTGTGGTGCCATCAGCCAATCAGCGTTGTGTTGACGTCAGGGTGAAAGAGTCATTAGTCACGGCTTTTAGATTCAGGTGATTGGTTAAAGGGGTCATATGACCCCTTTAAGGTTTGCGGTTTAAGGTTAAAAAACACATTGTTTTCCATATAATGTACATACTGCAAGATCGAGCGGTCTTTGCAATGTGGTCTTTGGAGGTCAGCTGGTCATCAAAGGTTACACCAAGATTTCTGATCGAAGTTGATGGGATAATTGTAGAAGAACCTAGCTGGATGGAGAAATCATACTGTAGAGTTGGAGTGGCAGGGAAGACAAGA